TTTTTTTTTTTTTTTTTTTAATCGAATTGAATTTAAATGGGAAATCTATTATAATGCAAAGCAGCGGCTTTTTTTTTTTAATTTGCCCTCAGCTGTTTCGAGAACTGCTAGGGCGAGGTCCCACTAGCAAAGAGGATTGGATTGAACGCCTGAATCTGGACTTTGTTTGTAGAAAGGTGCGGAAAATGTCGCGATTGAACTGCTTTTCTGCATCTCTGCTTAAAACACGTCCAGATTCAGAATATTTATCCAATCCTCTTTGCTTGCTAGTGGGACCTCGCCCCTAAAGTTGCCTATTCCAAATGGTAGGTGTGACCCAGGAGGCGTTGCCCCCCCCCTTTTTTTTTTTTTTTTTCCCCCAAGAAAGACGGACTTTTTCTTTTTCAGCATCCCACCCTTCCTTGTTTTTTTTTTGTTTTTTTTTTTTGAAGGAAAAAGGACTTCATTTAGAGAACAGCCCGCCATCCGACCTCACGGCGAACAAAAACTCCTTCCAACGAAAAAAAAAAAAAAAAAAAAAAAAAAAAAAAAAAAAAAAAAAAAAAAAAAAAAAACGAGCGTCAACACCCAAAAAAAAACAGAAGAAAAAAAAGAAAGGACTCCTCCGCGACATCCGTTATAATCGAAATGATACAGAAAAAAAAAAAAAAAACTTTTTTTTCTTTTTTTGGGGAAGACAGGATTAATTTTTATTTATTTATTTATTTATTAACCTGGCCCCTACGCAAGAGGTACCGCGCATAAATCCAGAAATGGTCCACAAAAAAAAAAAAAAAAAAAAAAAAAAAAAAAAAGAAACAACCCACCCAAAAAAAAAAAAAACCCCCCCCCCCCCCCCCCCAAACACCAAAACCAAAACAAAGTCAAGAATGATTCTCGAAATCCTCAGATTCTTTTTGCAAAAAAGAAAAATAAAAAAATTCCCCAGATTGAACAGATTCACACACACCTCTACAGTGGGCCTCGCCTCAGTGCTCACCAAATGTGCAAAATGAGAATGAATCTTCCGCTAGAACACGGACAGATGCACCGTCATATTTTTCGTCTCTTCTGCATATGGTGAGTAGTGGAGCGAGGCCCAGTGATTGCTACCAGTTCCAAGCTTCCTCTCTCTCTCTCTCTCTCTCTCTCTCTCTCTCTCTCTCTCTCTCTCTCTCTCTCTCTCTCACACACACACACACACACACACACACATACCCCAGAGAGCAGGTCCCTTAAGTTATTCCTGGGCCGCTATCATCGTCCATCAGCCATTTTAAAAAAAAGGAAAAAAGAAAACGAACGTCACACCAAAAGAAAAAAGTCCTTTGAAAAAAACAAAGGAAAAAAAAAAAAGAGTCCTTCGGGACATCCGTTAAAATTGGAACGATACAGACATCTTTAATTAACATGGCCCCTGCGCAAGGATGAC